TGATTTTAGTGTGAATCCAGGGTGGGAAATAACCAGATTAGCAAATGCCAGGGAAATAGTTGTTCTGTGAAGAAATACGAGTCTTTCTCTGGGTAGTGAGTGAAAGGCAAAAGTTCAAATTGTTTGTCTGTAACAGAAACCCTAGGTGGGAGCAGCCACCAACGACGGCATCATCAGAATATCCCGTTTCCTCCGCCAACCTGCTCCTCCGGCCCCACGTGAGGATCCCACACGGCGTCTGGCGCTGACGCAGCGCCAGGAGGCTGTTACCCACGCCCTGCGACGTCTCACGTGAGCGAGCAGTGAGGGCGGAGCGAGAGCCGGGGTCTCCCGCACCCTGCCTCAGGGCTCCTTTCACAGATGAAAACCGGAAGCTGGAGGAAAACAGTTGGGGCAGGGATTCAGCCAAGGTATCTAAAGAGAATTTTAAGAACCAGAGAGAGCAAAGGAAAGGAAAAAATTGTAGCAGAGTGAGAAAAGAGAATAGCCTCAATCCGAAAATAACAAGGAAAACGAGAAGGAATATATAATAAAGCAAAAGAACTGGCCAGAAAAAAAATTAACTAGGAAGAACTAGTCATTGCACTACTTTATCAACATATTAGGGGAAAATGCAAGGGAATAACCGCACCTTCCATTCAGGTTTGGGAAGCGTGGCGAGGCCTAAAGCACTTTCAAAATAAATACTGAAGCAAACACTAACTGTAGGAAAATCACCTGGCTGAGAGGCAGGGGCTGCCAGAAACTCCCAAACCTGGGCAGTATCACCTACTGCCTTGCTACTCAGTGATTTGAGGATCAGCTCTTTCAACATCATCTGGGAACATGTTAGAAATGAAGTCTCTCGGGCCTCATGCCAAATCTGCTGAACTAGAATCTGCATGTTAATTAGATCCCCTTATGATTTAGATGTATATTCTAGTTTGAGAAGTACTGGCACAACTGTAAGAACCAAACTGACGGTTTGAAAAAAAAAAAACCAAACAACTATTACAGGCAGAAGATGGGACTAGAGAACTAAGTAGAAATCAATCTGACTAATTAAATTGTTTATTGCCGCCCTATGATAAGCCAGGCCCTGAGCTGGATTTCTCAGGAAATGAAGGCCTGAGGCTAGGCATGGTTGGCCCAATGCCTGTCGGGGAGAAAGCATAAAGCTCATATATGTGAGGAAGCCTGTGATTTGTGCTCCAAGGGGAGGTCAAGCAAGGTGCTGAAGAGCAAGAGCTGGAGTTTAGAGGGAGATCAGGAAGCATGTAGCAACTGAACTGACTCTCTGACAGGTGGAGACGGTTATGGAGAAGTGGGAGGGCCTGCTCCAGGCAGAGAATCAGCATAAGCAGACACAGAACTCAGAAGACTGCTGTGTGTTGAGGGAACACTGCCCTCAACCTAGAGCAGAGGTTTTCAAATTGCTTTGTCAAGGAGACTCATGATCCTCTGATGATGCTTCAGAGACTACTAAGGGTAGGGAGGAAAGGCCAGTGGGATTGCTGGGGCCCCATTTCAACCACATAAGATTATATCTTAACAGTGGGTTCCAATATTGAAAAATAAAGTTTGACACATATCACTGAGCCAGTACACAAGGGGCTTCTAAAATTATTACCTATAACTGCCTAGCATGTAGTAAGTACTCAAATATCCATTGAATAAATTAATAAGTGAATGAATGAATAAATGAATGAATGAATGAATCTATGAGATCCAAATAAACAATGTGGAGCTACGTGGGGCTGGACTGCAAAGAGTCTGAAATGTCAGAGGAGAGGTTTATATGTCATTGGGTTGAGGAAAAGTTTATTAGCCAATGACTGAGCTTGGCTCTGCTTTGAGAAGCTTATTCTGCAAACCAAGTGTAAAACAGACTGGAAATGAGAGAGACTAGAGATGGGGAACTGGTTGGGAAAATATCCTAGTAGTCTCTAGAAAGGGATAATAAGAATCTGAACAAAGACAGTCACCGTGGGAATATAAAGGTGGAGAAGTCAGCATCAAGGGGCATTGAGAAGATGCCATCCATAGGGCTTGTCTGTGAATTAAATTGTGTATGAAAAGCAAATATATTGCAAAGTTTCTGGGTGACTGGGAGAAACGCAGAAATTGACAAGAGTCACCCCTGTTCATATAAGGAGAAAGATGTTGATTAGAGTTTAGACTTGTTAGATTTGAAGCACCTGAGAGCAATATAAAACCATCTTGTAGGTGTCAAATGTCAATATGAAATTTAGGAGGGAAAGTGGAGAAAGGGATGCCACTTTAGGAAAATAATCTAGCACTAATAAGAGGGCACTGCTGAATAAAAAATCACAGGCAAAAGAGCAAAAAGGAGATCACCTACACACCGAAGAAGATTGAGAAAAATCTGCAGAACTAAAAAAAAAAGAGAGAGAAGAAGAAAAGGTAGGGGAAAAAGACCATATTGAGATGCACCAGGAACTGAGACAGGAATCAGGGAGGTGGTAAACTAGAGACAGTCAAATGGTGGGGTGGGGGAGGGGGGTCACAATAAAAACTCAGAAGGAAATAAAAGCAGTGGGAAATTGCGACAAACGTGCTCATTGTTCTTTAGATCTCCGTAGACATAAGATTTTATAGGCGCAGCAGAAAGCCAACTTTGCCCTTTATTCCTGTGAACAAAGATTTTCACAATGAAGCAGTCGCTCCTGTGAGAAGTAAACTCATTGCTCATATTTTTTTTAATATAAATTGTTCCTGTTAAAAATTAAGCAATAATATCTTCAAACTCAGCAGGAAGAAAAAAATTTAAAGGGGGCAAGCAGTCCAAGAATTTGAGATTCTTGTCACTCCCAGCGTGGGAGCTCCACACAGCATTATCTATGTAGACATTTCACCTTTTGGAGTTGTGTCTGTTTTGCAGGATTTTTTTGGTTTTCTTTTTCTGAGCCAGGTCACTAGCCTGAGAAAAAGCAGCTGAGAACACCTGATATAATCTGATAGATCCTCATATAATAGTCGCACTTTATAAAGTTATCCTCCATCTGCTGACAGGTCTCACTAATTGGCCATGTTTGGGTGACAAGTACTAATGACAGTTCCTTCTCTGATTCAACTGTAGAGGAGACACCTCCCTTGGTTTCCTTTCTGCCTCATTCAGGAAAGACACATTAAATTCACTGTTCTCTTTTTTGCTATGTGAATCTGTATATTGGTAAAATATCAACATTATTTTCCTTAATATAGATGCTATTTAGTGGTTATGAAATTTCTCTAAAGAGAGCATTACTTACATAATGTAAAATAATACAATGCAAATGAAGTACATAAGGAATTATACTGCAAAACATTTATATCATTAGGATGATTCCAGAGAGGATAGTAATTTTTCCTTTGTTAGGAGAATTCACCTTCTCAAAAGCATTTTACTACAAACGCATGCAAGAGAGGTCAAGGTGATCTGCAAGAATAGCTATTTGATTTGTGGTTTTCATTCCAAGCTTCCTCAAATCACTTTTGGAAATAAGTAGGAGTGTAAATTATAAATCCATGAATACTTGATTTATGGGAATATAAAATTTGAATTACAACCAAGACTTTGACCAAATAAAAATTTTTCCACCTTAAAAGCCTCGTGTAACAACCGAACTTGTAAAGCGTATTTGCATTCTAAGGGTATTGATCTGTTACAGGGAAGGGGTGGCACAAACTCATTGCACATATGGCATCAAAATAAGATGGAAGGACTCTGAAAACCGGAGAAACGGGGCCCTGAAATAATTAAAGGAGCTCTTTCAAGCCCAAACCTTTAATTTTATCTAAAGACACAGCCTATTGACTTTATGAAAAGCTTTCTTTTCCATATGACAAATGCAGTTTTTATAGTTTCATGCACTGTTCTGAAGCTGCCAGTTTCCAAGCTTCAGGCTGGGCCCTGTAACATAAACGTTTTATTTCTTCCATTTGAACACCTTTTGCTACATCTTAACAAAGTTTGCATTCACCTTGGTGTGATGCTCTTGAGCAAAGCAAAACCAAAGAGAACTGCAAACCACATCGCTGTATGAAAATGAAGAAAATGAAGAAGACGCCGTTCCCTAATCCAAGAACTTTGGAGAGCACTCCAAAACTGTGTTTATTTTGTACTCATAGGGGTAGGGGGCTTAAAGCAATTTATTTTCCTTTAAGGACAACAACCCCCACCCCCACCCCACCCCTCATCCAGGTTCACCATAAAAACTGTATGTCCTTCTGAGCCTGTGGAAGCATTCGGGGAAGCATCGTCCTGCCAGCTCTCCCTTCTCCCCACGGGCCCCCGCAAATAACAGTGGCGAAGCAGATGGTCCTCCCCCTCCTCTTCTCCTGGTCCCTTCCGCAGTCCCACAGTGTCCTCCCATCTCGCGCTGACACCTTCACCCAGCGCTTGGTAACCGAGCCACCCCCTTCCCCACCCCCACCTCAGGGCTCCCAGCAAGCGCAAACTTTGAGGACCTTCTTTCTGCCTCACCGCCCCCATTTCACCTTCATTCAGCTGCAGAACTCTCTCGGGATCCCAAGCTTCGATTGCCATCTTCCTCCCACACCTCTGTCCCTAAACTACCCACTTCTCTGTATTGAAGAGCGACGTCCAGCCTCAAATGTCCCAGCCCAGGTGGCGGAGGCACTGCGACTAACCGCAGACGGGTGCTCTCCTTGTCCTCTCCCCTTCCCCATCCTCCCCTCCGTTTGGGAGACTCGCAGCTCAAGAGCCTACACTGGGGACGCCTCCACTCCTCTGGCTTCCACGACCTACTCCTATAACTCCAGGGGCTCACAAGACCTCACCCCGCAGCCCAGGCCAGAGGCGGCAGGGCATCCTCCTCTACAAGTGGGACCGCGGGACAAAGTGCAAACTCTATCGGGAGGGAGACTCCCGGCGGCCCTTCCCTCAGGCGGCACTCCTAGCTGCCGGCTCGCCCCGCTGAGGCAGGCGGGGGCCGGCGGGAAGGCGGCTCCCGTTCCGGGGGCTCCGGGGCGGGCTGGGCTGGGCGCCCAGAGCTTACCTCGGCGCGCGGGCCGCCGGCGCGTGGGGCAGTGGCTCCTCCAGCTGGGAAGCTGTTGCTCGCGTTACGGCGGCGGCAGCGGTCCCGCCGGGGCTGCGCTGGGGCTCCGCGCAGACGCTCTCCCGCGGTCTGCGGCAGCCCG